AAACAGGGTGTTATTGCATCAGACAGGTAAGAGTAATTTCTCTAATTAGTCATTTGAGGTTTTATTTTTCACTTGAAAGTACTGGATATTTAATTTGTTTGTGACATGCAATTGGCAAACTGACAATAGCTACAACTGCTCCTCCCTCTGTCTTGCTGCCCTGACACCCTGTGCAAAGTGCCTGGGGGTGGGGCCTCCATTCTAGACGCTAAGCTTCATCTATCAACATCAAACTAACTCGAGTACCTTCTTATTGACAAATGTGTCCTAATTACACATTGTTCACTTGTAATGCTAGAATAATCCTAATGAGCTTCCCATGATCATTTTTCTTTTAGATTAAATGTTTTCTTTCAGTCCCCCCAAATTTTGCAACAGTGAAGTAATTCATAAAATATGCTGATTTACATAAGAACGTGTTTCCTAAAGGTACAGAGCAAAATATTTTCAGGAAGCTGTAGTTTATGAATTAAGGCATGATTGATGACAGCCCTTTGATGAAAGAAAGAGTTCATCCTTTTATTTTGTTGTGAAACGCCCGTCTCTAAAGAAAGATTGATTGGCACCAAACGTAGTTCCCATAAATCATAGCTATTGATTTTACATTTGTTTTTGCTCTTCTGATATTTATGCCCCCCCCCCTATGTCATAATTTGTTATCCTGATAGCCGGCCCGAGTTAGTGCTGGGACTGAACCTACAAGGTGGTTTCTTTCCGTTCATTCTAATCTATATGTGAAACAGATGAGCTTTCAAACACAGAACCATGCTCCTCTCGCTTTTTATAACATTGCTATGTCATTCCCCATGGAAATTACAGATGCCACACAGTAAAAGCTGCGGCAAGTAGCAGCAGAAGGGATGTTTGCATAGTCCAATCAGCACTGGCACAGGTATGGCTCCTGACTGCCCTGGGTGCTGCAGGAAGTTGGGTGCTCCTCCCCACCCCTCCAGCTTTTCACACATAGCTTCACTCTTAGGATTCAGATTGCAAATATTATGTCCATCTTCTGGAAATTCTCAAGGTTGGAACACTCCTCCATCTTCCACAGGTAGCAGAAGAGATGGGAAGTAGAAAGCCTGCTGGCTACACTTCAGCCTGTTTGCAAAAGAAGGGCTTTTTAATCTGCATCTGCTTTGCTGCTTGTAGGTAGAGTTTGGGATGCTGCCAGATCACCAAGCAGCCCATTTAGGGCAAAATTAGCTAGTCTTGCTGGATATACATGATATATGCAAGTATCACTTCTTGTGTTTTGATTTTTCTGACCAATCGAAGTGAATGTTGTGCTCTCATTTTAAGTTGTTATTTCATACCCTTTTCTCTGGCTTTCCATTCAGTATTCAGTCACATCACTCAAGACCATCCCCGAACTCTGCCGAAGATGTGACTCTCAAAACGAAGACAGATCAGGTAGGTTTGGCTTCTCACCTCTCTTTCTTACCCTGACTTTTAGAGCATGGAAGCTGTTTCCACCCCCATTGTTTGCTGCTGCTTTCTGTTTTCTGTTTCTTTTATGGCTTCTCTACTCACCCCTACCCTCAGTGAACAGATGTTAGGTCATTCTCCGAAGGCTAACAGGACAGGGAGGCCGTAATGAGGACGTGGCTGTACACAAATAAATGCAGGCGATCATCTCGACAGCCCAAACCACAGTCTATGCAGCAATTTACTGAAAACCCGAGAAACCATTGGTGACAAAACATAATGATGCAGGCGCCAAAGAAAAAATGTTGGATGCATTTACTACCCATATGGCAAGGCCAGCTTGGGGGAGGAGGCTTGGCCAAAGCCTGAAACCCTATCAGAGATGTGACATGATAGAATCTGCAATAAGGCATACTGTAACAGTTAAGATTAAAGCAAAGCTTTGGAGTTTAATAGTGTAAACTAAGTAGAGAATTATGGCACATAGATGAAAACCAGCTGGTTGACCTTTTCTCCTTGCATACCCCACTACCCCTGACCAAAAAAAAAACTACATTCAGGGTTGTTTTTCCTTCTGTAAATCAAATTAAGCCTCTCTCCTTTTCTCTCTGTGATGGGCAAAAATGAAAATAAAAAAAGGATATTGATGGGACTGATAACCGAGGCATGAAACTGTGAAATGATGTTTATTATTTTTCCAAGTAATTACTCAAAGGCATCACCATTAACCTTGCCAAAACAGGACCTCCTCTGATCCTAACTAGAATCCTGAGAACCATGGGCGATGGGAGGCTTAAGATAATCCTCGAATTATGCGTATCGTGTTTAAAAATAGCTAGATGGTCCTTACCTATGCAGCTACTTGACTTCCAGGCCTTTCTCACGGAGCAGACTTGTACAAAGCTAATTTACTTTCTCCTGGACCGTTTGTTTTCTTTTGACATTTCGCTTAGTTGAGATGGGGAAAATAATTAGTCTTTCTATTGTAGGTTTGTTTATCTCTGGGTTTTTTGTGTGAGTGAAAGTAATGCTTCAATGTTTGGGTCAGAAATATCATCGAAGATGGTTTTAAGTTCAAATAAAAGTTTTCATTTAGCTTCAGGTTTAATTTTTTTTTTTTTAATTTTAAACATACTCGAGCTTCTGTCAGGTTTAACAGAGGCTTTAGCCATAAGGCTTATCAGATGTGTCTCCTTAAAAGGCATCGCTGGGTTCAGAGCTAAACCTCTGCCTGTGATCAGTACACACATATCAGACTGCAGTGGACCGGCTTCTAGCCCCAGAGTAAAAATACCTGGGTTCAAGTTAGCATCCAGCCATTTATCAGCTACATGATTCTAAGCCTATGACTACTAGTTATCTATAAAATAAAAAAGAAACTTGGGCTTCCAATGTTACCAGACTATTGTTAGGATAAAAAGTAGGTGATGGAGCTGAAAGTACTTTGAAGATATAGTATTTTCTTTTTTTTGATAATTGGAGTTGTGGAGTAAGGGAGAAGAAATAATAGCAAACACTTCAGTAGTGCCTGATGTACGTGCTAGGTATGGTTGTAAGCACTTTACTTATATTAGCTCAATTAATCCTAAAGTTGCTGTGAGTTAAGCACTATTAGGATGTTTGTATTAGAGATGGGCAAACTGAGACACAGAACAGAGCAGTTAACTATCTTGTCCAGAGTCACACAGCAATTAAGTTACAGAGCTGGGATTCAGAACCTTAGGAAGTCCTCCTCTACAGTCTGTTCTCTTCTGCATTACACATACTATCTCTCACATAGCTGAACTTGGTGGCATTAAATGAATTTGAGGGTATTATCCTTATGAAACTTTAAAAATCAGCATTCTCCCTCACTGATTAAGTGGTGAATTTCTTATCTCGGTTAAATAGCTATTCTTGCTTACCAAGTTAAGTGAATTCATTGAAACTTTTAAAAATAATTTTTCCTCAGGCGCATTTGTTCCATTTTCACCAGGTCATGTGACTTGTAGCCACTGCCACCACAGGTGACGTTAGACATTTATTTGGCTGAGGAGGAGGTCAGTTTCAAGCTTAGAAGTTTTGAAACTTCACCCAGAGCAAAGACCCAGTGCTTGAAATAATTAGCAATAATTAGACCTGATAGGAAATGGATGAATGATGGAAAAACTCAATGTATTCACATATGCTCCTCCAATTTGATGGGCCATTTGGAAGCTGGTAAACCGCTTTCTAATAGAGCAAGAGTGATCCTAGGAAAAGAAACACATGAAAAGATCCATCTCTCCGTAGCATTATGCAGAATTATCTGTGGGCTCCTTTGAAAAAAATCTCAACTTAGTAAAATTTTCACAGCCATTTTCAGAAAGAATGAGGCATTCTCGGTTAGTTCCATGGGCATCGAAATATAGGAGTACCACCTCCCGCACCCCTGCAGACTTTCTTCTGTGAAACACATAAAAGGAGCCTGCCCCAGGAGTGCTTGTAAATTTCTATCTTTATGGTAATTATTTTTCAAACAGACAGCAGCAGAAGGCAGATTGGCTTCTGAGAGGAGTCCACATCTTTCTTGTGGATGGGGCACCCTCTGCGGAAATTTTTCCCCAATCCTCCTGTCACTTAGAATATGCTCCACCAAATGAAGACATTTCTCTTTTCCTTTCTAAAGTCTGTTTAGTCCTTCCTATTTTGTGTAGGTCATCAAATGTTAACGTCCATCTTTATAATAACGCTACTTTGACCAGATGTTCTTGGGCCCATTCGTTCTTTTATTTATTCATTCAGCAAGCAATTATTGAGCATTCTCTGTCCTAGGCACTGAGGACACAGTAACACCAAGACGTAGACAAGGTCCCTGTTCTCGAGGCACTTCCTTTCTAGTGACAGACAAAAGGCAAGCAAATAAATAACTAAATCAGATCATTTCAGACAGTGAGAGAGGTGGCTGAGGCAATGGGAGAAAGTAATGTGTCGAAATTGGGGAGGAAGAAACTGGGGGCTCAGGCGGTTTTAGAAGGACCTAGCCATGTGAAACACCTGTGAAAAGTGCTGAAGGCAAAGGAATGAGCAAGGTGCCAAGTTCCCTGAGCAAGGTGCCAAGTTCCCTGAGCCAGGAATCAGCTTAGCATGGATGAGGAAGAGGAAGAAAATCAATGCAGCTGCAGTGTGGAGATCAAGGTGAGAATGAGATCAGGATCACACTCTGTAGGGCCCTATCCGTCACGTATGCGGAGGTCAGATTTATTACGTCCAGTGCTGTGAAGGGCACCGCTAGCAGGAGGCTAGTTTTTCTAAAATCCTATTACCTGGAAAGAAGCCTTGGCCTATGGAATCATAACTCTCAGTGGAAGGGACACTAAAAATCATCTAGCCTGAGAGAGAGAGAGAAAAGAGCAAGTGAGAGTGCAGATAATAAAGCAAATGGGTAAAATGTCGACAACTGATTAATGTAGCTAAAAGGTATACCAAGTGTTGTACTGTTTTCATTTTTTCAACTCTTCTATAAATTTGTTTAGAAATGAAACAATATTTTAATTATTTACAAACGAAAAGTGTTTTTAAAGGCACAAAGTAATTCACGTAGTCCAAAATCCATCAGATCTTTAAAGGCTGTCCTTATTATCCTGCCCAAGGGGTATCCAGCCTGTACTCCATCACTTCAGTGACGGGGAGCTCACAGCCTCACGAGGCTGCCTACCCATAAAGGTTATTTTTTTCTGTTCAGCCAAAATCATTGTCTCTTGAATTTCCATCTTTTTATCCTGGCTCTTCCTTTGGAAACATAAATAAGCACAATCCTTCCTGGGCAAGGGTGCCACTGAGTGTTTGGAGACAGCCATCATTCTCGGCCTTGTCCTCTTCAACTTAAAATTTCCCTCCACAGTTTTAAGTGTATCCTGCTCATTCTCCTTGCTCTCTCGTGGATGACTGCAGTTTGTCCGCATCCCTCTGAAAAGTGGAGCACCCAGCACTGAACCTGATGGAGGATCTGATCAGAACCTGTCAGCCCCACAGATCAGCCCCGTGACTTACCACACACCTTTCCTGGCTTCCTAAGTGGGCTGCAAAGACAGCACTCATGCCTGTCCCTCCTGACTGTTTTTCAAATGTTCTGAGAGGAGCGAGAGTGACAACTGAGCCCTATAAGTGGCCCTTGGAAGCCCCTCTGTGAGACATACACCCCAGGGCTCACTCCACTTCATCCCTGGACCTTGGGCCAAATCTATGGTGGGGCCTGAGAAAGACAAATGGCAGAGTGTCACCAGATGCCTGGGCAGTGTCTCTGCACCTTCCGCTAGCTCAGCGATGCCAGGTCTTTCCTGGGAGTGGCCTTCCTTTAGCCAAAGGCTTCGATTCCTATAGAAATCTGTATTTTCCCCTGACAGGAACATTCTACATTATTCTCCATCAGCAACACTGTACTATGACTGGGTTTCAAATTTCTGTGATAAAAGCAGTTTTGAAAAGAAGTGTGAGGGTATTGGAGACACCCCAAGAAAGTGGGAAGGAGGTGGAAGACCTAGGAGCTGGTAGGCTGAGAACAAATTTTGCCTGTGCTTGGAGCTGCGTAGGTGCTATTGAGAGTTCCCAGTTGTTTCTTAGGTGCTGAGTGTACCAGGCATTATGCCAGATCCTCTGTAAATAGCTCATTTGTCCTCAAAATAATTGTCTGACAGAGGGCCATTATTATGCCCATTTTATTGATGTGGAAACTGAGGCTCATGGAGCCATAGCTCTAGAGCTAGCAAGTACATTTGAAACCAGGTGTGCTGACTCCAGAGCCACTGTGAAGTTGAGCCAAGTGAGGAGTAATTTTCGTCCAAGGAACCATGAGTGGTTAGTGGTTGGGTCAAGGATTAGCAGCATGGATGTTATGTGTGAAAAAATGTACACCTGTAAAGAGAAGTTATTTGTGAAATGTTTGCATGCATTTTCTGCTTACTTTCTGCTACTCGTGTAGGAAAAGAGGACACCACAAGGCAGTGAATGTTAACTCTGCTGTATGG